TCTACATCACGTTGTGGTACTGTTCAAGATCATGATATGCAAGCACCATTTCTACGAATAATGATGGAATTAGACAGCAAATGCATGTATGGACTTCCACTTTCTACCATGACTAGAAGACCCTTAATCAATCTTCATGCATGTAAACGTCCCTTTCTCAAGCCCTTGAGTTTATCATCAGATTGTACGAAGTAAATTCCATCTCCTATAAGTATCAATATATTGTTATTGATATGGATAGTGATACGTACACCCATGAACCGGTACCCATGAACCGGTACCCATTTTTACACCCAAACTGGTTTAAACAGTAAAATTACAAATTTACCCTTCTCACTAAATCTATTTCCCACAGAACAAATCCCAAAAAAACTCAAGCATTCAAGCACATTCAACAATCAAATCCCAGCAAAATTCAAGCATTCAAGCACAGTCGACAACCAAATCCCAGGAAAACTCAAGCATTTCACCAAATCCATCCATCCAAAAAAAAACAAAAATTAGAATATCTCTGGGTTCTCACCAGAGAACCCAGCTTAGGTTCTCCACCGAGAGAGAGAAAAAAAAAAGAAGAAGAAGAAAGAAAGAGGTGAGGGAAAGAAGAAGAATGATCGGTGGGAAAGAAGAAGAATGATCGGTGATGAAGGTGGAGGATGATGAAGATCGGAGATGATGGGTAAAATGGTGATTAGAGGATGATGGAAGAAAAAGAGAAGGAAGGTTAAATTTGTAATTTTATTCTTACATTTATTTGGTTTATACAGGAAAAACCCTTATTTTATAATATGTGCACCCACCGGTGTTGAACCGGTGGGTGTATCATGTATCTTTATCCTATTGATATTATAATTATTTTAAATTAAAAACTTTAAATTTAAATTTTAGAATAAGTGAAAAAGAATTTAGAAAGATAAGAGTTATAATTATATAGTCATCATCATCAGATGCATTAAAACAAATGTTTCTTTTTATGTTGCTTTTCTCTGAAAACAGATGCACACAATACTACCCGGAAGAACACAAGGAACCACGAACGAAGGAAGGAAGAAAAGATCAGAAGAAACTCCTGAGACTGTAATGAAAAAGCCCACACTTGAAAGCTCCACCGTTTCCTCTGTAAAGGTATGCATATAGGTTTTCTTTTTCTTTGCCATACATAATATATATTTTCCATTTTTGTAAAGGTATAGTGTGTATATACAATACTATATATAACCTGTAAGTCACTAATTCAAATTCGCCACTACTAGTAATGTTTAGGTGGTAATACAAGCATTTGCATGGAGTTGTAATTCAATATGGTCTCTTCGTATTTCGTCATGGAGCACTATTGATTCTCTTTGTTTATTTTTAATAAAATTGATTGTTGGGGAGTTTGGATTAACTGTTGGGGCTACCTAATATCTGTTTGTTACCAATAATTAAAAAAAAATTGAGAGATAATTTTTTTATATAATTTTCTATATAAATTAGTGATTGGTTCTTTCAACTATTAAATTCATTATATTATATACACTTACTCATTTAATTACTTATGAAAATTATAAATAAAAGTTGTACAAAAAGATTGTACAATGGATGTGGTTATGGCCATCAACTCATTGGTTCAGGCCACCAAAATTGTATTCCATTTGACTTATATTTGTGTTTTTTTTCTTAAATATATGCTTATGATGTTTGAAAATATCAATTTATAAACTTATTTTAATTTATTAAGTAATAAATATCAATTGTTCTATCAATTGCTCCTTCCATTCATTTTTAATAAATTTACTTTGACACTTTTACTTTTTGAATATAAATTTTAGATGAAAATTTAACAACTTATATGAATAATAATTAAAAAAAATTTTCCCTATATAAAATTCTTTCTAGGTATTTTTAGTTGATGAAAAAAAATTTCCAATTATTAGTTACAATATGTTAAATTTTCATTTAAAATTTATGTATAAAAAAGTCAAAAAGTCAAATTAAGTCTACTGAAAAAGGAGGGAGTATTAGTTATTTTTAACAATCAAATCAAGCAAAATTAATGTTTTCCTTACACAATATTTAGTGACCTTAATAAAAAAATTGGTGGTCATAACAACACCTAATATCTCTACCCCTAATTAAAATATCAACTGCTAATACTTGAGTAACCAAATGATAATCTTATTCAACAAATTATCAGGAGCTAACAGACTAACAGAAAAAGTACTAACCAACAGCTATTACTAACTAGCCAGCCATCAGGACCTGTTTAATAGGATTGTTCTTTTTTAATTTTAGTTTTGATTTTTTTTATATGAAAAAGGTGTTGTGTAGTTTGAACTATATCAAATTGCATAACACTAATCTAATATAAGGTTTGATTCTCTTGATATTGAAGACCTCCCTCCAGTCAATGGTCATATTTTACAGTTTAATACAGCTTAAACTGTAAAACAAGGTTCTCCTTTTATATCTAGTATTAGCTTCAAATCCTTACATATAATATTAGTTGTTAAATTTAAAAGAATCAAGACAAAAAAAACCTAGAAACTAAAACGATATAAAGGAAGCCTTATCAATTGAGTTTACCAGCTAAAACAAATAGATCTTATGTTTGCTGATAAAAAATAAGCTTTGTATTCGTAATAATGACTCTAGGCTACATACATACGGATTAATCCAAGATTTAAAAAAAAAAAAAGGAAGAAAAAGATTTATATCATTTTGAATAGAAAAAGAAACTTCTCTTATATCTAAATGAGTTAAGATCTACTTACATATAAATTTTATACATTATATTTATATAAAATTTTAAATAGTTATCTTTTTACTTTCAATTGTTGAGATTTATTTATTTATTATCATATTTACCTAGATCATAACTTTTTACATTAAAAAATAACTATATTTAATAAATATAATTTTTTCAATGTAAAAAGTTATGTTAAATGTCCACCATTGAAAATTGAGAGATGAATGGCCAAAATTTTGTATAAGTGTGATGTATAAGATTTGTATATAAATAGATACCACCTCATATATATATATATATATATATATATGTACATGAGTATAGATCTACTAACACATAAGTCTTATATAAAAAATCTTGACTATTTATTTTTTCACTTTCAATAGTTAAAATTTATTATAATTTTTTAAATAAAAAATATAATTATTTTTAATAAATATGAAAAAAAAAAGGTAAATAAATCTTAATAATTAAAAATAAAAATATGAATAGTTAAAATTTTTGTGAAAATGTAATGTGTAAATTTTGTATGTAAGTGGACCCTTACTATATATATATGGTAAAAATTATTTAGAAGATGAATTCAATATGTTTTTAGAGTCTAACAACATAGACATTTAAACAGCTCATCTTTCATCAGTTTTTCACTGGCTACAAACATAATTAGTTAACTATTTCCCTTTCTTTAAAAAACAAAGTATCTAATAATTAAGAAGTATACAAGCCAAGATAAGATTTAGATGAATTGGGAATCTGCTCATGTTCTTTATGTCTTGATGATAAAATAAAATGTAAGAAAAATAGCGTGTCTAGTGTATATTGAGTGTTACAATTTTTCAAGAGTCCATGTATTAGTAACTCTATTATTATTGGCTAACAAGAGCTTATGATAACCCCCCCCCCCCCCCTAACTTCAAAATCATAATTTAAATTCAAATTAAGTTAAAAGTTCAAAACTCTTTGTAACACTAAGTACACAAACTTCTTAAATACAAAAGAAAGGAAAATCGTATGTCACACAACCGTATGTCTTGATGATCCCAGTATTGCTATCCTTTTCTCATACTATTAGTAAAAGAAGCAAGAAGTAGAGAGTCATTTTAGTGAAATTAATTGAATGGACGTTGCTTAATTGCAGGCACCAACAGTGAAGCTTGGAGACAGAATCACAGCCCTTCAACAGATTGTATCACCTTTTGGAAAGGTGAAAACACCACCGACAACGGTTCCTTTCCTTATTTAGTCAACTTTTCACGTCTGCTTCTCTGCTACCTAGTTGTAACTTTGTTATGATTTCAATTAAATGGAGGTTTCTTTTCTCTGATAAAATATATATATATATATATATATATATATATATGCATGCTGACTTTCAGACCGACACGGCCTCTGTGCTATTAGAAGCAATTGGATACATAAGGTTTCTTCAAGAACAAGTCCAGGTGAGTGTATTAAAGCATAAAAACCTTGTTTAACGGGTGAGAATGAGACAGTTAATAATGGAAATGCTAATTTGTATTTTCTTTTTATCTTTTGCAGCTTTTGAGTAACCCTTACATGAAGATCAACCCTCATAAGGTACAAAGTTTGTAACAAAATAATAATAATAAGAATAATTACAAACATTTAACATTTAAGTCGAAAATTTATGTCAATTTTTGTGGGCAGGATCCTTGGGGAAGTTTGGGCAGAAAAGATAGAGGAGACATGAAGCTTGATCTCAAAAGCAGAGGTCTTTGTTTGGTTCCCATTTCTCGCACCCCACAGATTTATCGGGAAAACTCGGTTTCAGACTACTGGACACCAATAGAGGATGCTTGTATCGCTAAAATCTCATACATCCTTTCAAATGCATCATACAACCGAGTGGATATAATGGTTTTTTTTTTTTTTTTAGCATTTACATGATAGCACGACTGCAGGAGTCAACTTTCACCCAAGTTATATTGTTAATGGCACTTTTCAAAGGACATTATGACAATTTCGGATTGTTATATGTATTTTTATTTTTCCCACGTTTATGTTTCAACTGATAAAACTATTCCTTTGATTTGGATGCATTATTTTGGGGCCAAATGATTTGGTTGGTCTCTGAGTCTACTACTTCAATATTTATCTTTGAGTTGAGCTTTAAATTCAAATGTCGCTAGGAGTTACAAAAGGCAGTTTCTCACAATAATCATTATCCACTTTTTTTTTTTTTCTTTTCATTTACTAAAGAATGGTAGTGTATTAAAGAATACCTAAAGCTGAGGCCCACTTTATTCGTACGTATAAAAAGAAAATAAATTTAATCTTAAAAATCAGAGAATAGTCATTACATACAATCAAACATGACCTAAATAAATGCAAACCATTTTCCAGGTATATACACTATCTGAACTAAGCTTTCTTAAGTCTTGATTCCTAATTCCTAATGCAGCATGTCTAAGCGAAGAGAATCCCTTGAAATCTACTCAAAACTTGGCTCCATAAATGCTCAGTGCGCCACATTTGTCAGGCTTAATAGACGAGCTTGAACCCAAATTCTAGGTTCATTTAGTAAATGAGCCAAGCTCGTGCTTTGGAATGCTCCACCCGTTTATTTCTGTGAACATAGCTCATGACTTTATGAGCCGTTCATGAACAAACCTTAATTAAAGCCGTTCATCTTCAACCATATGCACCAAATTTAAGCTTACTTAATAACTGAATGATATACAATACATAACTATCTGCCCTTCAAATTTTCTATGCAGATTCTTTTAAATATTACTTAAAAGACAATAATTTACAGATGATATACCAAAAAAAAATAATAATAATTTTAGGTTCTTCTACAACTAGGATTTTAGATAATATCAAATCCCTAACCTCTTTACACCACATTCGGAGCAGAACTTGGAAGTCTCTCTAAGATACATAGCTCCACATTCATCACAAAACTTTGCTGGACTGGTTGGCTGAAACGTAAGCATTTATAGAAAGGTCAGAAATAGCAAAGCAATAACATACACAATATGAGATTGCTCTGCTAGCAGAACCTCTAATCTTCAGTCTCACGTATACTTCGAGAAATGGTCAGTTTTACATCCTAAAACTCACACTTGATGCTTTCAAAACAGGTAAACAATTAGTAGCTTGTCCCATTAACTCTTATACATATCTTCAAGAAAATTTTCCAAAAACAATCATTGTT